TTGAATTTTTCCCAAAATTTCGCAAAGAAACTGAGTTTCAAGCTTAAAAATGTACCACTAAACTCTCAAAAAAGACCGAATTTAGTAACTTTTTTCTCAAAAAAGCAAAAATAACACTAAATTGAGTGATTTTTAGCTTATTTTTGACAAAATTTCATGAAATAATTGTGTTTCTTCGAAAAAATCCACTCACCCCTTCAAATATTTTAGGCCAAGTGCGTTTCTGTCTGAAAAACGAGCAAAATTTCGATGTAAAATTAAATTTTTTGCTCAAAAATATGCAGAAAAGCTCAAAAAAAACAAAATTTACACAATTTTCGATCAAATTTACTTATTTCCTGGCTGTTGCAAATTTTTGCGAAAATTTGTGTTCCTGACTGCACAACAGACTAAAACTTTCAGAAAAAACTTAAACAAATATAATTTTTGATTCTGATTTTTCGCGAAAAACTAAGTTTCAAGCTTAAAAACGTGCTTCTAAACTATCAAAAAGACAAGAATTATACCATTTTTAACCTAAGTTAATAATGTTTCGACTCATTTTTTTTTAGAATATTGCAAAATAAATGCGTTTCTAATCAAAAAATTAACTCAAACAACAAAAATTTTGTGCAAAAATTGAGTTTTAAGCTTAAAATTAAGATTTCGGATTAAATTTTTTTAGTGATTTTCGGCCTGAATTAGGGAAATCTTGCAAGGAATTGAAGTTTTCGCTCAAAAACATGCTTCAATTTGTTASTTTTTCGGTTTATTTTTAGGTAATTTCGCATGACTGAAAAAACCGAAAAAAGCAAAAAAACACCATTTTCGACCAAATTCAGCGAGGTTTTCGGTTTATTTTTGAAAAAAATGGGCTATATTTTTGATAAAATTTCATAAAATAATGAAATAATCGCGTTTCTGACTGAAAAACGTGCAATATTTCGCCGCAAAATTCAATTTGTGGCTCAAAAATGTGCTAAACGCTCAAAAAAGACCAAACTGACACAATATTTGGTCAAATTTGTGACAAAATTTCACGAAGAAGAAGAAAATAAATATAATTTTTGTCTCAATTTGAATTTTTCCCAAAATTTCGCAAAGAAACTGAGTTTCAATTTAGTAACTTTTTGGCCTGTTTTTTAAAATATCGCGAAATAATTGCGTTTTTTCAAAAAAGCAAAAATAACACTAAATTGAGTGATTTTTGGCTTACTTTTGACAAAATTTCATGAAATAATGAAATAATTGCGTTTCTGACTAAAAAACGTGCAATATCTTGCTGCAAAATTAAATTTTTGTCTCGAATATATGCAAAAACGCTCAAAAAAGACCAAACTGACACAATATTTGGTCAAATTTGTGACAAAATTTCACCAAAAAGACTTAAATAAATATAATTTTTGTCTCAATTTGAATTTTTCCCAAAATTTCGCAAAGAAACTGAGTTTCAAGCTTAAAAAAGACCGAATTTAGTAACTTTTTTTTCAAAAAAGCAAAAATAACACTAAATTGTGTGATTTTTGGGTTACTTTTGACAAAATTTCATGAAATAATGAAATAATTGCGCTTCTTCGAAAAAATCCACTCACCCCTTCAAATGTTTTAGGCCAAGTGAAAAAAAAAAAATTAAATAGTATGCCAGTTGTGCAAAAGATGTCCCAGTTTTTCCGACGAATGATGGGTGAGGTTGAAGTAGATGGTCTCCCCGCCGGCTAAAATAGCCCCCCATTCGCCAAAAGTCCCATAATCGAAAATGGAGTGATTACACGAGGCCAATATTGCTAGATCTAAGGCAGGAGAATTCCGATGGTTCTTACTGGTGATGTAGACGTTCTTCTTCTTCGAGAACTTCCTCTTGCACCACAAAGGATCATCGCTGACGAATACAAAGACAACATCGGCGTATTTCAGCTCGAAATAGCGCATCGCCGACCTGAAAAAGGTCGCATTCGCCGGACTTGCAGCATGTTTGCGCATTAAATATCCTATGTAATCCGTGCGTCGAACATGGACGCCGACAAACACCCGATTGGTGCGGTTTTTCGATGCTAAATGGAGGATTTGTTGGCTCTTAACTAGTAGCTTTTTTTTTATAGAAAATTCTTGAACGATGTCTTGGACCCATGTTATTACAAGTTCTGGTTGAATCGAGTAACGAGGCAAAATTATGCTCTGGTTGGTGTAGTTCCACGAGTCTAGGGACTTCACGAAGCGGGAGAGCTCCACGGGACAGTGCGAAATCTCCTCGAAGGTGGGCACTAGGTGAAAAAAAATACACTATCAAAATTTAATTTCAAGTTAAAATACCAGAAGCATGAAAAAAAATTGACATTTATGACATTTTTTTATGTGAGTTGACATAATTTAGTTACTTCTGTTGCCAACATAAACACAAGCCAGACACTAGAGGTGGCGAGCTAGGGGCTGCCAACTTTGCAATAAATTAAATGGCCTCTTTGAATTATTTAGTAAAAGACAAGAATTTTTCCAATAAAAGCCACAAAAAACATTAAACAAAGTTACACCACTGAAAGGTTGGAAAAAAGTAAAAAGAACACCATTTTCGACCAAATTCAGCGAGGTTTTCGGTTTATTTATTTTTATCACACTGTGATAAAACTTTAAATTTAGCGATTTTTTGGCTTATTTTTGACAAAATTTCATGAAATAATAGCTGAAAAACGTGCAATATCTCGCTGCAAAATTAAATTTTTGGCTCAAAAAAGACCAAACTGACACAATATTTGATCAAATTTGTGACATTTTCTCGGAAAATTTGAATTTTTCCCAAAATTTTACAAAAAAAACTGAATTTCAAGCTTAAAAATGTACTTCTAAACTCTCAAAAAAGACCTAATTGAGTAATTTCTTAGCTTGTTTTTTATAATTTTGCGAAATAATTGCGTTTCTCGAAAAAAGCGAAAATAACACTAAATTTTGTGATTTTTTGGCTTATTTTTGACAAAATTTTATGAAATAATTGCGTTTTTGCCTAAAAAACAAGCAAAATGTCGCTGCAAAATTAAATTATTTTTGGCTCGAAAATACGCATTTACACAATTTTCGATCAAATTTACTTATTTTCTGGCTAATTTGCGACAAATTTCTGCAAAAATTTGTTTTTCTAACTGCACAACAGACTAAAACTTTCAGAAAAGACTTAAATAAATATAATTTTTGACACAATTCTGATTTTTCGCAAAATCTCGCAAAAAAGTAAGTTCTAAGGTATCTCTAAACTATCAATTTTTAATTAACATTTTTAACGTAATTTAGTAATTTTTTGACTCATTTCTTTTAGAATATTGCAAAATAAATGCGTTTCTAATTGAAAAATTACTCAAACAAAAATCTCATAAAAAACGCTCAATAAAACAAAAATAATGTTCTTTTTCGACCCATTTTAGTGATCTTCAGCCTAATTTAGCGAAATCTTGCAAAGAATTGGAGTTTTCGCTTAAAAACTTGCTTGAATTTGTTACTTTTTTGGTTTATTTTTAGGTGATTTCGCATGACTGAAAAACGCACTAAAAGGCTCGAAGAAAAGCAAAAAGAACACCATTTTCGACCAAATTCAGCGAGGTTTTCGGTTTATTTTTGAAAAAAATGTGCTATATAATTGTGTTTCGGACTTACACTGTAATAAAACTCTAAATTTAGCGATTTTTTGGCTTATTTTCAACAAAATTTCATAAAATAATGAAATAATTGCGTTTTTGACTGAAAAACGTGCAATATCTCGCCGCAAAATTAAATTTTTGGCTAAAAATGTGCTAAAACGCTCAAAAAAAAACAAACTGACACAATATTCGATCAAATTTGTGACAAAATTTCTCGAAAAAGACTTAAATAAATATAATTTTTGACTCAATTTAAATTTTTCCCAAAATTTCGCAAAAAAACTGAGTTTCAGGCTTGAAAATGTACCTCTAAACTTTTAAAAAATAACTAATTTAGTAATTTCTTAGCTTAGCACTAAATTTAGTGATTTTTTGGCTTATTTTTGACAAAATTTCATGAAATAATTGCGTTTTTGCCTAAAAAACGAGCAAAATGTCGCTGCAAAATTAAATTATTTTTGGCTCGAAAATATGCAGAAAACCTCAAAAAAGACAAAATTTACACAATTTTCGATCAAATTTACTTTTCTGATTTGCTGACTTGCGACAAATTTTTGCGAAAATTTGTGTTTCTGACTGCACAACAGACTAAAACTTTCAGAAAGGACTTAAATAAATATAATTTTTTATCCGATTCTGATTTTTCGCAAAATCTCGCAAAAAAACTAAATTTCAAGCTTAAAAAGTTGCTTCTAAACTATCAAAAAGACAAGAATTATACCATTTTTAACCTAAGGTAGTAATTTTTCGACTAATTTTATTTAGAATATTGCAAAATAAATGGGTTTCTAATCGAAAAATTAACTCGAACAACAAAAATCTCGTACAAAAATTGAGTTTTAAGCTTAAAATTAATATTTCGGATTAAAAAACGCTCAAAAAACGAAAATAATGTTATTTTTCGACCCATTTTAGTAATTTTCGGCCTGATTTAAATTTAGTGATTTTTTGGCTTATTTTTGACAAAATTTCATGAAATAATGAAATAATTGCGTTTTTGACTGAAAAGCATGCAATTTCTCGGTGCAAAATAAAATTTTTTGATCAAAAATATGCGAAAACGCTCAAAAAAGACGAAACCTACACAATTTTCAATCAAATTTACTTATTTTCTGGCTGATTTGCGATAAATTTTTGCGAAATAATTGTGTTTCTGACTACACAACAGACTTTCAGAAACTTTCAGAAAAAAAAAATAAATATAATTTTTGACTCAATTCTGATTTTTCGCAAAATCTTAAATCTTAAAAAAAACTAAACTTTCAGAAAAGTCTTAAATAATTTTAGAATATTTCGAAATAAATGCGTTTCTAGTTAAACAATTAACTCAAACGCTCAAAAAAAAAATCTCGTGAAAAAATCAAGTTTCAAGCTTAAAATTGTGCTAAAACTCTCAGAAACAGACAAAAAATAAACTATTTTTGAATCAATTTTGAGATTTCGGGTTGAAAACCGCTCTAAAAAAAACAAAAATTATGTTATTTTTCGACCCATTTTAGTGATTTTCGGCCTGATTCAGCAAAATCTTGCAAGAAATCGAAGTTTTCGCTCTAAAATATGCTTAAATTTGTTACTTTTTTGGATTATTTTTAGGTAATTTGGCATGACTAAAAAACGCACTGAAAGGCCCAAAAAAGAAAAAAGAACACCATTTTCGACAAAATTCAGCAAGGTTTTCGGTTTATTTTTGAAAAAATTGCGCTAAAACGCTTGAAAAATACAAAATTTGGTTATTTTTTAGTTCGATTAAGCTCAAGAATTACACCATTCTAACCTAATTTAGTCACTTTTGACAAAAAATGTAATTTTTTAGTTCAGTTTAGCAAGTCCAAAACGATTGAAAGGGGAAAAACTACCATTTTCGACATAATTTCGTGTTTTTTCAGCTTATTTTAAACAATATTTCGTGACGGAAAATGCACGAAAAATTCACAATTTTGTGACTTTACGTCTTATTTTTGAAAATATTTTAAACCAAACTCGCGCCCCACAGAAAAATTTCAAGCAAGCTAAAAGACCAAGAAAAATTCTGTCAAAAAATTTGACGTTTGACATTTTTTGATGCAAAATTTAAACTCTCTTGGACATTTTTATAGATAGAATTTTTTAATCATTCTTTCCATGTTCCTGGTATGGCATTTTTCTCTGGAACACTCTGTATATCAAACAATTGTAAATTACCAGTGAGGGAGTCGAAAACTTGGTCGAGTTTGAGGCGGATGCACCTGGGGACGTAGGGCTCGAGCCCCGTGCGTCGTGCAAGGGCCCACACAGAGGCGTACTCCCACATTTGGTTGCCCAATCGGCCGCCTTGCATGATTGTGACGATGCCGTATTGGGGACAATTGGCCCTTTTCCACGATTTCCTGTGTTTGATGTTGGTGGTGCAAAGAGATTGCTCGAAATCCATGAAGGTTTTGGTGGGATTTCGGCCGGCGTTCAAGTCGTATAAAGGAAATAGAAAAATGTGCACGAAAGAAATGACGCATAATGCAAGAACTGTCGCTTTAAATAATATGTTGTGATTCGTATTTAACATATTCATTTGATGCAATCTAAAGCACTTGAACTACTTCTAATTTTAAGCATTTTACTAAAGTCGCGCACAACTGCTCATCTGGTCAAGCTACAACCTACATCTTCGTGTATTGATTTTTCATTCCATCTCGCACGGGGATGCTAAGCAAACACACCAAATGCGCAGCTGAGAATTTGAAAATTTGCTTCAAAAACCGAAGAGTTGGCCAAAATTCACTAAAACTTCCTGGAACTCTAAAATATTTTATTTAAAAAATGGACGTGAGAGGCCGTTAACTCTGGAACTAGTTGTACAAATTTTTGGAAAAATGCACAATTAATGATACTGATGATCTTGTATATGATTTTATATAATTATTTAGTAAAAAAAAACTAGAAAAAATCTTTTTCCAACAGAAATAAATACAGTCAAAGTGCAAAGTTAGGGATAGAATTTTTTGATCATTTTTTCCATGTTCCTGGTATGGCATTTTTCTCTGGAGCACCCTGTATATTAAACAATTGTAAATTACCAGTGAGGGAGTCGAAAACACACCAA